GCCCAAAGCTCTGGATAGAGCTTGTTCATTGGACTGTATCCTTCATAAGACTGAGAAGCGTCCCAGACGTGGTAGTTCATTCTCAGCAACGTCCGAGCTTCAGATTCGGCCGCGGAACAAGCTTTCGGGCAAATGACTTTCTCCTTCAGAATGCAGTTGATGTTCTTTTTCAGATTTTCCGTTTCGGCATCAATTGTCTTGAGGAGATGAGTAGCTCTGTAAAAAAGATGAATGTTCATTCTCAGAAAAAAGGAAGTTTAGAAAAACCTCAAAACGTCCAGGAGAATCCGAAAGAACGAGGTCGAGTCTCGAGCAGGAATTTCGTCCTTGGAGAGAAGGTTCATCACGAGAACTCCAACAGATTCATCCAACGAATCCAACAAAGCGTCCACATTCTTATTTTTTATTAACTCGGCGGCATCTTTTATTCTGTTTTTTTGCATTGCGCACTTCAAAAGTGAACAATTGGCCGTTTCCGAGTTCAGTACTTTTTTGATATTCTCCTCTTCTTCTTTCAGTTGTTTCTCTTTTTTTTCATTGGCTTTTCTTTTACGACTGGGAGTTTTTTGTGAAGCTTTATAGTGATTTGGAAACGTTTGCCGCTCTTCTGGTGTTCTCGGGGTTCTCGGCGTCGGGTCTTCCACTGGCTTATTAGCATTGGGAATTTTTTTAGCTTTCTTCGAAAACCATCCTTTCACCTTGAAATGATAGAAAAATTATGTGAAAAAAAATTTGAAAACGAACCGTTTTTATGATACGTTTTGGTGTGTTAACAGAATCTTGGCTGTTTGAAACCGAAGACTGTGATCCTTTTGGGGAAGTCATTGATCTGTAAAGTCTTATTTTTCTTCTCAAAACCAGATAAAGCATACTTTATTTTCCAGCTTTGCTTTTCTGACTTTGAGGCCCACTTCTCAACAAAAGAAGCAACGACTAAACTGCTACTGAGAGCTGTTTTGACGTTTGAAGCAGATCTTTCGATCAGCTCTCTTGCTGAACGAGAAGCTTGAACAGTGCTGCAGTCGAGATCAGAGGCTTGACTCGTGTGCGACAGGCAAGTTTTCAAAACAGAAGGCGACATCATTGTCAAATAGACTGTTTTGATGTTCTATGAAAAAAAAAAATTAGATTTTTCATTCAACGTTTCCGTCTTACCGTGCCCGGATTCGTTTCGAAAAAGGCGCAAATCGACTGAATAGCAATTGCCGTTCCAATTTCTTCCGGCCAGTGATAAATTCCGATACCAAGTATTGGAAAAGTCACTGTTTTGCACATTAGTCCGTCAGCATGTAGAAG